TAACGATTGATTGAATTTATAACTATTTATAAATTTCCTTTGCAGAAAATACGATCAGCAGCTGTGTTATAAACGTTAATCATTTTTAATAGTATTGATGTTGTTGTTTTGTGTTGTTGTTGTTATGATATTATTATATATGTGTAGTTGTGCGTGTGCGCGTGTGTGTTTTTCCGAGTTAATGCATCTTCGTTTTTGATTGGCTGGCTGGGAGAGTGAAAAAAGATTTGACAGTTTACGAGCTTGTTCGGTGTGTATATGTATGTATGTTCGTTCGTTCGTTCGTTCGTGTGTTCGTTCGTTTGTCTGTTTGCTCGTTTGTTTGTTCGTTCGTTCGTTTGTTCGTTCGTTCGTTCGTTCGTTTGTTTGTTTGTATAAAGATATGTTTGCACGTATGTATGTATGTATTGAAGGGTGGGACTACATATAAACAAACATACATATGCACAAACACAAACTCATGTATACAAACATGCATACAAACATACATACGAACAAACAAACAAACGGAAGAATGAACAAACAAACAAACAAACTCTAGCATAAAAATCAGGAAACAATAAAATATATTAACAGACTAATGCTAGTTTATTATGCCTACTTTAAACAAAATACAAACATAGATACACACACACAAACACACTTATACACAACACACACATACACACACAAACAAATGGACAGCGAAACATACACAATAACTTCCTGAAAAATCTACATAAAACAAATACAAAGACACAAACGGACAAGCTAACACACAAGCAAGCACACATACAAACACAAACAAGCACACATACAAACACACACAGACAAACAGACATACATAAATGCCTATGTTTGTCGATCGATTGAACTTTCCCTGTTGTCATAAGCCCATTATTCAATTAGTGTCAGGCGAACCGGTATATATACAAAAAAATACACACATACGAACGCAAAAAGACGCGTGTAAAAAAGACGCGTGTATCTTTTTTTGTATGTATGTATGTACGTATGTATGTATGTATGTATGTATGTGTGTATGTGTGCATGTGCGTGTGTTCATGTTTGTTTTGGAGTTTTTTTTTAATTTTCCAGATCAATGGAATAACTTTTAACAGCATTGGATTGTTCATTACGCTCATTTATAATTATAGGCTTTCCATAATTACCTTTATTATTATTACTACTACTACTACTATTATTATTATTATTATCATTATTATTATTATTATTATTTTTATTATGATTATTACTACTACTACTACTACTACTACTACTACTACTATTATTATTATTATTATTATTATTATTATTATTATTTGTATAATGATTACATTACGTGTATATGTATGTTTGTATGTATTTTTGCAGGGATGTTGGTCGCTGTGGTATGGTGAAGATTGTTTGTCAAATGCTGTAATTATACGGCTACATATGGCTTTAATGTGTACAAACAATTGGACACAGACATATATAGATACATACATACATACATACACACACATACATACAAAAAAACATACATACATACATACAAACAAACAAACATACACACAGGCATACCTTGTTGCTACATAAACTCTAAACGGCAAAGCGCTCTGCAACAGATATCAAAGGCATTATATGCCGCAATGGGTATGTATGTGTTTGTGTGTGCGTGTGTATGTTTGTATGTTTGTATGTCTGTCTGTTTGTTTGTTTGTATGCTTGTTTTTATGTATGTTTGTATGTTTGTTTGTATGTATGTTTGTATGTTTGTTTGTATGTAAGTATGTATGTATGAATGAATGAATGGATATATCATATGTACACTGTACATTGTACAGTGTGTATCTGTGGTGACGAATATTATCAAGATAACGAAAATATTGATGATGATGATGATGCTAAAGATTTTAATGATGATGATAATGATGAAGATGGTGATGATGGTGATGATTATAATAATGATGATGACGACGACGACGATGAGGATGATGATGATGGAACTGAAGAAATGAATAAATGAAAGATGAAATGATCAGCCACAAATTAAGAGCCAGCCCAATCGAAATGATCAATGAAAGAAAGAGATATTTATTTATTTAATAAATTTATGTATATATTTATTTAATTATTTATTTTCAATTGTAAAGAAATGTTTATTAGTTAATCAAATAACCAATCAATCAATCAATCAATCAATCAATCAATCAATCAATCAATCAAGTTCAATCAATCAATCAATCAATCAATCAATCAATCAATCAATCAATCAATCAATCAATCAATCAATCAATCAATCAATCAATCAATCAATCAATCAATCAATCAATCAATCAATCAATCAATCAATCAATCAATCAATCAATCAATCAATCAATCAATCAATCAATCAATCAATCAATCAATCAATCAATCAATCAATCAATCAATCAATCAATCAATCAATCAATCAATCAATCAATCAATCAATCAATCAATTAACTAATTTATTTGTCTATTTGTTTATTTTTAATCATTTATTCACGTATTTATTTCTATGTTTATTCATTCGTCTCGCCATTCGTTTAATTAATTTTCAATTATTATTTTCTGTTCTATGTTTTTTCTCTATTTTGTTTCTTTGATTTTCGTTTGTTTGCTTACGCAGACAAAAGATCCTAAAAAGCAAAAGATCAAAAGAAATTGAAACGATAATTTTTATCGGAAGAACTCGCCCAAAGATAACGAATCAATAATAGAAACAACAACAATGGCGTAGAGAAATGGAATAAATAAATAAAAATAACTGAATGAATGAATGTGTATGTGTGTGTGATGTGTGTGTATCTATGTACAAAGTTGTACATGTGTGCGTGTGTGTGTGTAGATTGATGTAAGTGTGTGTGTGTGTGTGTGTGTAGATGAGTGTAGGTGTGTTTGTGTAGGTGTGTGTGTAGGTGTGTGTGTGTGCGTGTGCGTGTGTGTGTGCGTGATAGAGAAGAAGAGATTGATAAATGCTAGAGTCCTAATGTAAGGTCGGCTTTAATGTATCGAAACTGTCAATTCTCTAACAGGTCTTCTAATGCTTTGCAGTTTGTTGCCGAGTAATGCTACCTGGTGTGTTTGTATGCGTCGTGTTTGCGTCCTGCGACCTCTCTCTCTCTCTCTCTCTCTCTCTCTCTCTCTCTCTCTCTCTTTCTTTCTTTCTGTGTGTGTGTGTGTGTGTGTTCAGTTCAGTTTTTTTTGTGTGGTTTGTTTTGTTGGTGTGTGTGCTTTGCAGTTAACTATAACGATTTACTGGTCGCTTGATTAGTCTGTTTGTTATTTGTTTGAATGTTTGTATGAATGTTTGTATGAATGTTTGTGTGATGTTCGTTCGTTTGCATGTTCGTTTGTATGTTCGTTTGCATGTTCGTTTGTATGTTCGTTTGTATGTTCGTTTGTTCTTCCAGGGATTTGTCGGC